CCCCCCCCCCCCCCCCCCCCCCCCCCCCCCGCGCCCTCCCGGCCTCTTATCGTCGTTGGTATTGGTGTTGCAGGGATCTCAGTGTACGCCATCGAAGACCTGTCGTCCGCCGCTTTCGGTCGGGGCGGGCAGCAGCATCAGCAGCAGGACCCCGCGTCACCGGTCCCTGTCCGGGCCGACGTGGCCCTGGCGGGGCGGCCTTCGCGCATGGAGGCGTCGCGAGACAACCTGCGTGTCGCTGTTGCGGTGGGAGACAAGGTGCGTGGGTCGTAAGACTGCTATATTTTTTTAGTAAAGACTTGTTAACGTTTTGTTTTTGGTTCGTTGGGCTCTCCGAGTCAAAAGGTTCTCATTGCATGGACCGCCCTGGCGCCGCCTACGGCCGATGAGGAGGCGCCAGCCGTGCAGCCGCCGTTGACCACTTATGGACGTCTATCTAGGCCCTTCTCGATGCGGCCAGACATTTTTTTTGTGGTTGTCCTTGTTGTAAGCATCGGGCGCGCTAACCGGCCGACCAATGGAGATACGTCAGTCTCAGCAGTGCAGCTAATAATGGGAAACGCTTCTATAGGCCGTTTTTGTGTTTTTTGTGCTTGTTTACTCGCGTGTATTGTCAGCCGCCAACTAAGTGGTCAATGAAATATCTTCAGTCTTCTTTGCAGAGCATGTAGCGCGAACACGTCTTCTTTTGTCTGTGTCTATTTTGCTTGGGTCGACCGTGCTTTTGTAACTGGCTCACGAATGAGCAGTAGGTGTGTGCTTGCCGGCTGACGAATACGCAATATGTGTGTGCTTGCGTTTTTCTGTTCCAAATCGCCAGCTGGACACGGCAGTATATTCCTGAAGAACCCGCTCTGGCATGTAAACAAAGAGTGATGCATCTTCTGCCCCACCGCAATGCTTCTCACTCCCCCTCAATGAACGTCTTTTCCAACCAGGTCCTTGTTTTCGATACCGCCTCCCTCGTGAACGGCGGCGGCAGCGGCGCCACCGCCGCCCCCGTGGCAACGGTGGCCCTGTCCTCTCCCGACGCCGGCGACGCCGGCGACCTGCCTCCCCGGGCGCTTTCCTGGGGCCGCACCAAGAGCTCCGGCGACGGCGAAGACCTTCTCCTGGTCGTGCGCGCGGACCGGACGGCCGCCGTAGCGCACATCAGCGGCGGCGGGGGAGGGGACGGCCCTGGCCGGTGCTCCGTGGAGGATGTCGCCGAGGGCCAGAATGTGTTTACCGCCGGGTGTTGGCTGGGGCAAGGGCGGGGGCGGCTCGCGATGGGCACCCGGACGGGGGACCTGGAGGTGTACGTGTACGGGGACGGGGGGGAAGGCGGCGGCAGCGGCGGCAGCGGTGGATTGAGGGACTGCGAGGCCGTGGTTTGTTGCCCCTCGGAGCTGGGCATGGGCGACGCTGACGCGGAGGTACACTCGGTTTCTTTTTTGCCCGACCTCTCTCGGCACAGTTTGCTCCTGTGTTTGCCGTCCCTTGTGGGTGTCCTGAGTGTTTGGTGCTTGGTCATCCACTAGGTTTTTTTTTACTTGTGCGGGACGCCCGCATTGTCTGACGACAACACTCAGGCAGAAGTGTTCCGATTTATTTGGTCCTGTCTGGCATTGTCAAGAGTCCCTGTCTCCCGAACGGTAAGTTGCTCTCACGGCATTTCGATTTCAGGAATGCTCCGAACCTGATCAATATCCTCGGTAGTAGCTTGACGACAGCCGAACAACAGCCTCCACCAACATCAACCAACAATTGTAATCAACAACAGGTGAACCACTTGGTCACGACTCAGACGGGTTCGCTGCTGGCGGTGTACTATGACCCAACAACCGAAGAGAACAATGAGGTGAGTTTGGCTATGTTATTAGTACCTTGTGTTGCGAGCAGTCTGCGCTGCGGCGAGGAGACGCATCAGAAGTTTGCATGTGTTGTTTTAATCGATGGTCTTGGGGGCGTCTCTCAAGGTCTTTCCACGAGTTGTTAAGGTCGCGTGGGCAAGGGGCTGCGGGAGAGAGGTCGACACGTGTCTCCAATTTGGCGGTCAGCCCAATGAGTTCGCTTGCGCGACGGAGCATCAGGAAGTCCAAAGCGACCTGGAGTTGCACTACTGCTGTTAAAATCCGCCCGCTATGCAGACGCTGACATGCTTCCATTTTGTCGACAGCTTACCAGCGGCGGCTAAACCACCGCAAGAAGCGCACGCAAACACTCTCACGCCGGTCCTGTGTCTTTGTCTTGTGTGTGTCTTTCCTTTTATTCTTGTTCAGTTCGCGGCAAGGATGGCCGAGTTCGACGTTTCCGCGGAAGACCTCACAGGGGGGCCGACGCTGAAGGCCTTCGAGGACCCCGACCTGGATGGCAAGATTTTTCCCTCGTTCGACACTCCGAAGTCGGTCAAGTTCCGGTCCCATGTGGCGGTAAGTGGACAAAGGCGCAATAAGGCGGGGGGGTGTACACTCGCGCCGCCAACGCATCCCTTCACGGGTGGGGCGCCGGGACGGCGATTTTCATCTCTTTTGGGGGGGCAGTCTGGAATGTGACAGGCCATGACGCGCACCTCGCGTACCGTTTGGCACCCAACGGCAGTGTGTAATCCTACATGACCTGTACTCTGGGGCATATAGTGGCCGGCGCGGTGGCTGCTATGTTCCGGTTGTTGACATCGCATGCCAGGACGGGGCGACAAGAGGGGGTGGGGGGGGGGGGGGGGGGGGGGGGT